CCCATAAACCTGACATATAATTCTTTAAAAGGTTTGGATTCACATTCCTAGTAATCGTATAAGAAACAAAATAAACTACATAATGAATATAGTGTGAATAAACCCTACATATTGTTATTATTAGTATTTTAACTTGGTGTGGATCAGAGGTTTAGTATGGATATTTTTCCACAAATTACTGTCAAACTTTTTCTTTTATAATTTATAAAATTGATTATATGTAAATGATTGTCCGCTGTTTTAACACATTATTTTTAATGGTCTTCCATTCCTTCTTATAATAATATCTCTGTGGGCGAATATTTTCTTTATGAGCTCTTTATAAGGCTTTCATATTGCTAATCTAGCCATCTTATTACTTTGATTTAGGTGGTTCTGTTTCTCAAAAATGAAAACAAAAGCATTCTTTGGTATATCCGATTTGATTGATCACTCAATCGATTATTACTGAGTGCTAATTATATATCTATATATATATATATATATACAAGGTGAGATGAAAAAACTGCAACCAACTTCAGACTGCTGTCATTTCTAAACCGCTCGTCCCACAGCTGTCAGATTTATTCTAGTGACAGCTCATTATATTGTTTACAAGCGCACAAAAGCATTTTGGTGGGAATTTTTCAAAAAAAAAGTTATTTGTGATGGAATTCAAGCGTGATAGTGTGATTGCTTTGCATTTGGCTGGAAAACCACAAGTGGCTATCGTTAGAGCCCTCCAGCATTTAGAAGTGAATAAATGTTTTGTGTCTCGTACCATCGCTCGTTACCATGATACTGGTAGCGTAGCCCGACGTCAAGGAAGTGGACGAAAAAAAACAGCAACATCGGCAGAAATGGTTCGAAAAGTGAAAAAGCGAATTGAACGAAATCCGCGTCGCAGTGGACGAAAAATGGCTCGTGAGCTGAACATATCGCAATATGCCATTCGGCAAATATTGAAAAATGAGCTTGGACTAAAGCCATTCAAGTTCCAAAAAGTGCAAGATCTTACTGATGCGCAAAAAAAAGTTAGACTCGAAAAAGCTAAAGAGTTGTTTCGCTTGGCCGAAAGTGGTGAACTGCCGAATTTGGTTTTCTCCGATGAGAAACCATTCGTTATCCAGCAGTTTGTAAACAAACAAAATGATCGTGTTTACTTGCCAGAGAGGTCAGCTGAAAATTTGCAACTTCGGTTGGCCATCACAACTCAAAAGCCGGCCATGGTGATGGTGTGGGCCGCCATAACAGCCGATGGTCGCTCGCCGCTCGTATTCATCGACCGTGGTGTCAAATTAAATGCGCAAATCTATCGCGAAAATATTTTGGAGGGAGTTCTGAAGCCCTGGGCACGCAAACATTTCGGCCGCAGACCTTGGACATTCCAACAGGACTCAGCACCATCGCACTCAGCACGCGCCATCCAAGAATGGTTAAGAAATGAGGTTCCTCGCTTCATTTCCACCGCACAATGGCCACCAAAATCTCCGGATGCCAATCCGTTGGACTATTGTGCCTGGGGTATTTTGGAAAGCAAGGTTGGAACTAAAAAATACCAAAGTGTCGATCATCTCAAGCAAGCGCTTCGCCGAGAATGGGACAAAATACCGCAGAGCCACTTTCGGGCCAAAGGTGGCCAATTCGAACAAATCTAAACCGATTCTCAAATTTGATGTTATTTCCGACATTTTTTGCTTTCATTCAATAAAATTTAAAAAAAATGAAAAAATTATGGCGTTTTACTTTGTTGCAGTTTTTTCATCTCACCTTGTATATATAAATAATATCCTTTAAAAAAAATTTTTTTTTTAAAACTTTTCAAAACCTCCTCTTTTTTATATATATATATATATGTCTATTAAATTATTATGGATTGTATAGATATATCTATAATATTATTATTTTGTTATTTATTACGTCTTTTAATTCGGTCCTGTCTTCATATTAGTGTTACGTTGGGTGCCATTTGTTGTGTCCGGTCTTCGGTGGGCGAAGTAACACTGCAGTGAACGTGGAGCGGTGACATGGTGGCCAGCCCGGTAAGCTCGCCGGTTTTGGGGGTGGTTCTTCTCACGCTCAGCAACAATCGCGGATATCAACAAAAATTCATGTCACCTGTTTGCTGTGGAAGAAAACCATTTTTGTGCGGAACCTACATCTAACACAATCACAATATAGCCATTGCCTGATTGAATTCGCTATATTGCAGCAGCTTGAAACGTCCTCGTCTGTTTTGTCTGTAACATCTTTCACACTACATTCACTCGGTCACTCTTCAACTTATATGCATTCTATTTTTCCCTAGCACTTCCACAACCGCCAAATAACTAAACCCTACTCCTGCATATTATTTGAGTTTTCCATCAAAAAAAAAATTTTTTTTTCCTTTTATTTTTTTTTTATTCAACAAAAGTCATGACCATAATAATCTTAGTAATCTTAAACTTAACTAAAAAATATCATAATAAAAAAAAACAAAACAATTAAGAGAGAAAAAGGAATATACACAACCCAATCTTTTAACTAAATTTTTAAATAAAGCAACAATTTCTCTTTACATAAGTTCGCGTGTCTTACCTTACAGCTGCTAGAATGACGTCACCCACGCTGCTGTTGACCTAGCTGAAACTTATGAATAATAAAAAAAATATATATATATGTATTTTTATATAATTATGACTCTTTAATATAAAAAAATTTAAAAATCTTTTTTTTTCTTTTCTCTCTTTTTTTTCGTTACTCTTATTTTCTTCTTTTTTTTTCGTATATATATCGTATGCAATTTTAAGACAATATTTAGTAATTAATATAATTCAACTTTCGAGATAATCTTTTTTTTTTTACACCCAAATTTAATTCCTAATTTTTTTTTGTTTTTTTTATATACATATACCATATGCAATTTTTAAGACAATATTTAGTAATTAATACAATTCAACTTTCAGGGTAATCTTTTTAACATCCAAATTTAATTCCTAATTTTAATTTTCCCTTTTTTTTTATATACATATACCATATGCAATTTTTAAGACAATATTTAGTAATTAATACAATTCAACTTTCAGGGTAATCTTTCTAACATCCAAATTTAATTCGTAACTTTAATTAATTCATCACAATTATATGTTAGTGAAAATTAAAAATATACAATGGAATATATCTAATAAAAAAAAATATATAAAAAAAATAAAAAAAAAATATAAATGCAGACACGTGTGTTTCAGTATAAGATAGATTTTTTCTAGTGCAGGAATACCTGTACACCGTTGTGCGTTAACGGTGTGTATGATCCCGTTGAATCCTTCCAACAAAAGTGAATTTTGCTACCGGTCCAATATCCTTATGGTCATGTCTTCTAGTTTAACTATTTATCACTTCACTAACCGCTATATCCCCAATAAAGGTATTAATATTTCGCCACAAAACAGCTTTATCACTTTATTTCGGCTTCTTTTTGTGTTTTCATTTAGAAGAACCCCAAATTTTTATTTATTATGTTATAATTGTTGATCACTAATGAGTTTTATGTATCATTTCAAAATTTACACGCATTCTTCTGTTGCACTTGACTTGTCATAATATATTTGCATATGTCTCTATTATTTAAGCATATTTCAGAAAAAAACTATTCATTATTTGGCATAAAACTCATGCATTTGATCCACTTTTTTTTTTTTTTTTTTAAGACTATTATTAGAGACGAAACAAACTTGGCTTTTATTAGCACTTTTCAATTTTTAATTATTATCTCTTGGGTTTTGAAACAAACTTGGCTTTTATTAGCACTTTTCAAATTTAATGAAATTTTTAATTATTATCTCTTGGGTTTTAAAACAAACTTGGCTTTTATTAGCACTTTTATTCACTTCTTTTCTTTTAATCTTAGGTTTTGAAACAAACTTGACTTTTATCAGTACTTTTAAATTTCGATAGTTCATCAACCAACAGCAAAGGAAAAAAAAGACCATCACCGTGTCTGCTATGGCTTTTATATCCAATTCGCCTAACTGATAAATTCCTATCACGTTAGTGATCCTGTTACCAAAGCTTGCTTTCGTTAATTTGCGTTAGCTGGCCTTGTTTGGCTTGAGAGTAATAACCTTTAATAAAGCTTCTTTTTTCTTTCTCCTTTTCAATAAAGCTACAATTTGTCTTAGATATTTCGAGTGGTTATTCGCACTTGGCAATACTATCCCCTCTCATTAAGTCAAACTTTACTGAAGCTTTAGTGAAGTTCGCCTTAACTACATTGCACTAAACAAACGAGACTTGAACGTAAAAGCTTTACTTTTCGCCTTCTCTGTTTACCACTTTTGTTTACTTCTATTTTTACTGATAGCGTGCGCGCAATGCACGTTGTGAATTTAATAAACCGAAATTGTTTTAATGAGCAAGAGGAATACTATTGGTGGAGATATAATTACAACCCAAAAAAAAAAATATAATTGAAGTACCCATGGAAGCTACATAAAGTTCAAGGTATGTTAACGTCATTAATATTCACGTTGTTTTATTAACTCTTCGTTTACCCCTACCCAGGCCTACATGACAATTGTTAAATAAATAAAAAAAAACAAAGTTTGGGGCATAGATGGCGCTTTTCACAAAAAGAAAGAAAAGCAAAAAGCAGCTGATCATACAATCCACAAGAATCTAGCAGCTGACTCTTTCCAGAGTGTAAGTGAGATGAGTAGCTTATACCTGCGCAAAACACAAGAAATAATAGCTTTCCGGCCTTTTGCAGTCTCTTGTAAAGTTAAATTAATTGAACTAGTCTATTTATATCCAAATTCAACACTCTTATTCACGGCAATTTAATTATTGTTTTCTTTAATACCTTTTGCTTGACCACCTTTTAACTACGCGGCACACCAAATATGCGTTCGAGCTTTTAATTTTACGCGCACGATTTAATACACGTCCGATCGCTTCCTCGCTTGCAAAACATTTGTATTACTTGCAATAATAACCATCAGTTATTTTCATGTGAAAATTTCAAACGTAAATCCATACAACAGAAGTACGATTTACTAAAACGTCATAAATTGTGCTCAAACTGCATGAAACCTGGTCATATGCCGTTACAATGTTCCAGGGGATGCACCATATGCCAAAGAAGACATAAAACACTGTTGCATCAAAATAGACAACTAGTTCAATCCTCAAAACAGAAGTTAGTTGAAAACACTTCAAGGCCATTTGCCCAAACAACACTTATGTAATCCATCAATTCTGGTAGGATCAGTTTCGTTCTTTTGGGAACAGCAAAACTTTTAGCATCTAACTCTAATGGAAGAACAGTCGAGCGCAGAGCAGTACTGAATTCAGGTTCACAAATTAATATTGTGACTGAACGACTGGCATTCAGATTGGGTCTGCAAGTAAGCTCCAGTTCAATTTGCATCGAAGGCGTAGAAATCGGAAAATTGAATTCTAAAAGTCGTACAATAGTTTCTGTACAATCAAAAGTGACCAATTACAAAACAATACTTGAAGCATTTGTTTTACCCAAAATTCTATACAATCAACCATCGCAGCATTTACAAATTTCAGATTGGTATCTGCCCAGTAACATCCAATTAGCAGATCCTACATTCTATAAGTCTGACAAAGTTGATATGTTGCTTGGAGTAGAATTTTACCATCAACTTCTAAGTCCTGGTCAAACACAACTTTCAAGGGAACTACCAATTCTACAGAACACTATGCTTGGCTGGATCGTATCTGTAAAAATTCAAAATGCTAACGCAATAATTGCAACATGTGGGATAGCATCAGAAGATAGTTTACAAAATGCAATAGAACAACTTTGGAAGGTTGAAGAAGTTGATACTCACTCAAAAGTCTTCTCAATAGCAGAGCAACAATGTGAAGCTCAATTCACTCAAACTACATATCAGAATGTTACGGGACGGTTCATCGTGCGTCTTCCCTTTATAAATGATAGATTCGCTTTAGGAGATTAGAAAGACATTGCTATAAATGGATTTTTAAAATAAATAGATTTTTTAAATTTAAAAGGATAGTCACCTCAAACGACAATATGTAGATTTCTTAGATGAATATAAAAAATTGGGACACATGACCGAAATAGACATTGAAAGGATTATGTCATCGTATTATTTTATCCCACACCATTGTGTTCTTAAGCCTGACAGTACCACCACAAAGTTACGTGTGGTATTTGATGCATCATCCAAAACAACATCAGGACAATCTCGCAACGACTTACTACACATCGGACCAATTGCTCGAAGTGAACTATTGTCTATTCTGTTACGATTTCAACTTCCTCGATTTGTGTTTACTACAGACATTGAAAAGATGTATCGACAAATACTTGTACATCCAGAAGACAGCCAATGTCAGCTTATCGTTTGGAGAAATGTACCGAATCAACCTATAAAATATTTTGTACTCAACACAGTAACATAGCAACCAAATCTAGCATCTAGCAACCAAATATTTGCAAGCTTTAGCTGATGACAATGTGCAAAATTATCCATTAGGTGCATCTGCTCTCAAAGAAGACTTCTATGTAGATGATTGTTTACACGAGGCAGATAGTTTGAAAACATTGTTGGAAACCCAGAGTCAGTTAAACAAAATACTGACAGCAAGCGGTTTTAAATTGCGAAAATGGTGCGCAAATCATCCTAGTTTACTACAATGAATTCCACACGATGAATTTAGACTTAGAAAACAATAACGACACCACAAAAACTTTTGGATTATCCTGGTGTCCAAAATCTGATAGTTTATGCGTCAAATTGGAACCAGTTTGCAGCACAACGAAGCGCAACGCAACCTCAGATTTAGCAAGGTTATTTGATCCACTAGGGCTTTTGTCACCAGTTGTGGTGATGGCAAAGATCTTTGTTCAAGAAATATGAAATTTGAAGATGGATTGGGGTGAAAAACTACCAACTGAATCACATAAACAATGTTTGGAGTTCCGGAACATTTTGACAAAGGTTAATTGTCTACAAATTTCTCGGCATATTTTCAAGGGCTTTTTTTCAGTCGAAATTTTTAAAGTGAGCGGACGTGTTTTCAAGTCGGTCATCGAAAAAGTTAAAATTCACAGTCTTAAAACTATTTATATTAAATATTTTTGTATAAACCAAAAGTGAAAAGTGCATAAAATATTAATTTGAAAATAGCGCGCGCTTTTTCGGATTTTTTGTTTATTTTTTTTTTTTTTGCATTACTTAATCTTAAATGCTTAAATAGCTGACAGAGACAGCAGATCAACATTTAAAGCTAAAAAGTAATATAAAAAAGTTTGAGAAACTAAATATACCAGTGCGCTTTTGTGCATATATAAACACAACATTGCACAACACAATTCAGTTGGATATATTGTAATTTTTATTTTATTTAATTTATTAATCACCATTATAATTATTTATTTATTTATTGCAATTGCAATTGTAATTTCGCAAAATAAACAGAAACAAAAATTTGTGTTTTGTCAAAAACAGCTGATAGAGACAGCATATGCTTTCTTAAAGAAAGTAATAAATTGTAAATGTGGTGTTGCCACAGTGCAAGTTTTTAATTATCTTTATGAAACGTATATAAACTTTAATAATTTTATTTAAAAATTTAAAACTTAAATAATTAAAAATAATCATAAAAACATACTATAATTATATTGTAAAACAAGTGTATGAGTAATAATGCTACACGGCGGCACTTTCAAATCAGTGAAAATGGCCTAAACAGCTATGTAATGCTTACTTCAGATGACATTAAAACCAACCAACCACCAAACATCTAAACAAAACAATGACCGAAGCAAATATAGCAAAAATAGCTAGTGAAATTGCCACAGCCAATAAAATTAAACTAAATAATAACTCATCACAATCGATAGAAAATGATCAACCTACGAACTCGATGCAATCCCGTAAGATTAATGAGCTTGAAGACAGCATAAAACATCTTACAGAAAAGATCAAGTCATTAGAAAAGTGTTGCGAATCTCTGCTAAGAGAAAATGAAAAGCTTAAAGCTGAAAAAAATATACCAATTTCTGTTAAAAGAAAACCAGTACTAGTGCAACAATTATAAACGCAGTACATAAGAACGTTGCGAGTAACAGTAATTCACCCTAAAACGGTAAACGTGGGCGTTCTAGTCCTATAAATGCACAGCGAAAAAATAAACAGAAAAAGCTTGACAGCTACTGGCTGCAACACCTAACCGTTTTGAGGTTCTCGACAACCCTGACGCTGATAATCAAGGAGAAACATCAGTATTTGTAGCGGGTATTGGTAATATTCAACCATTACGGGCACTGCTAAATGATGTGGCTCCAAATGAGTTTGTACTCAAAATTTTAGGTAATAATGAAGTCAAAATACAGCCCAACACAGCGGATGTCTACTCAAAAGTTACCAAAGCTCTTGCAGAAAAGCAGACGGAATTTCATACTTACAAGCTAAAGCAAGATAGAAGCTTTAATGTAGTGTTGAGGGGCCTACATCCATCAATACCTCTTGATGAAATCAAACAAGGCTTAATTAATTTAAGCCATGAAGTAATCAATATCAGTAACATTTGACATCGTGTTACAAAAAAACCACTTCCTTTGTTTTTCGTTGGACTAAAGCCCTCAGACAAGGTGAAAACAATAAACAACTATACTGACTTGCTGCACACAAATATTTCCATCAAAGCACATAAAAAGAAGTGCGAATTGCCGCAATGCACTCAGTGTCAACGCTATGGTCATACAAAACATTTTTGTAATCATATGCCGCGCTGTGTTAAATGCCCTGAAAACCATTTATCCTCAGATTGTCCTCGCAAATCCCCGGCAATGATGTATGGTGTGTTCTTTGTGAAGGTAATCACCCGGCTAACTATAAAGGGTGCACAGTCTACAAAGAACTCCAGAAAAAAGCGTTCCCAGCCCAACGTAGAAAAATAACAACTGATACAGAAAGGCAACAGAACACCAAATTGAATGTAACAAGCCAAACTTATGCAAATGTTGTTAAATCTAGCAATATAAACACTCAGGAGTACGTAAACTCAGCTCAGCAAAACGATTTTCCTGAGTTTAAATCAATGCTCAAAACGGTTATGGAACAAATGAGCTCTATGCTCAACCTCCTAACTGCATTTGTCGCTAATACATCCAAATAATGGGTAGTCAAAAGATAGCTATTTGGAAAGCTAACGGGTGGCACAGCAATAATCATAAAAATTAATATTGACCACTCATTTCTCACCAATCACAATGAAGATTATCTTCAATCAACAGCTATATCAGTACGAGATATACCGTATATGGTGAAATAACTATTGCCTCTATATACTGTCACCAATTCGCAAATTATTTCAAAACGCTCGGGCCCAATTTCGTAGCAGCAGGTGACTTTAACGCCAACCATACTCATTGGGGCTCAAGATTAATAACACCCAGAGGACGAGAGCTATTAAAAACGATACAAGAAACCAACCTATTTCACCTATCTACTGACGAACCCACTTACTGGCCGACAGATCTAAATAAAACACCAGATGTCATTGACTTTTGCATTTGTAAGAACGTACCCATAAATAATCTAACCTTGCGGTCGTCGTTAAATCTTTCGTCTGACCACTCCTCTCTTCTGTTAGAAATTCATTCGAATATCGTCCTAAAAACTCCAGAACTAAGACTTCACAACAAAAGAACTGATTGGGCTATTTTCCGTAGTTACATTAGCGAGCACCTCTCGACACATATTCTAAAAACTAATCATGACATTGAAGCCGCACTAGAACAATTCAACAAAATTGTACAAAAGGCAGCTTGGTCTGCAACTCCGTCTACACAGAATTGTAGGACTGTACATCTAGACAAGGATATCAAAGAACAACTACTTGAAAAACGTAATTTACGTAGAGTCTGGCAGATGACGAGAGATCCTAACGATAAGAGGCGCCTGAATGTAGCCACCAAAAAACTCAAAGTAAATCTAGAGGCAAGAAAAAATGCAAGCATTGCAACTTACTTAGCAAGCTTGTCTCCCTCCGAGGCCACTGAGTACTCCTTGTGGAAAGCCACACGCATACTTAATGGACCTACATCACATATACCACCAAAGATGAGTAATGGGCAATGGGCTAAAACTGATGCTGATAAAGCGAAAACTTTTGCAGTGCACCTTGGTAAAGTCTTTCAGCTACGCTGCTTTAAAAATAATCTGAAAGACTCTGAAGTTGAAGCTTTTCTTCACACTCCGCATCAATTAGACTTTCCTATTCCTAGGTCTTTGACTCGTGAATTAAAGTTGGTCATAAAAAACAAAATTAAAACCAGAAAAGCTCCAGGATATGACCTGATTACCGGAAAGGTGCTACTCGAGCTACCAGATGTGGGTTTTAAATTCATAAAACAATTATTCAATGCAATTTGTACCTGTGAACACTACCCAGCTCAATGGAAAGTCGTCCAAATCATATTAATTCCAAAGCCCGGTAAGCCCGTCGAACTTGCAACATCTTACAGCCGATCAGCTTACTTCCTGTGTTGTCAAAAGTATTTAAGAGAGTATTCCTAAAACGTCTAAAGCCAATTATCGAAAATAGATATCTGATTCCCAACCACCAATTCGGGTTTCGAGAGCATCACTCTACTATTGAACAAGTAAATAGAGTACACAACTTTGCAAGACTTACATTGGAAAATAAAGAATACTGCACAGCAGCTTTTATCGACATAACATAAGCATTCGATAAAGTATGGCTCACTGGACTTCTCTACAAATTAAAGTTACAACTCCCGCATAGCTACTTCTCTGTCTTAAAATCATACATACTAGATCGGCACTTTATGGTTAAAATGAATAGCTGTCACACTGAACTTTTTCAAATAGAGGCTGGAGTTCCCCAAGGAAGTGTGTTGGGTCCTACTCTATATACTCTGTTCACCGCAGATCTCACACTCAGTGCTAAAACATACACTGCAACATTTGCGGATGATACTGTAGTGATGACGAAACACGCAGATCCTGTAGTAGCTTCACAACTTTTGCAATGTAATCTGAACGATGTTAACGCATGGCTAGATATTTGGCACATTGAAGCTAACGATAACAAATCAGTTCAAACTACTTTTACACTCCGCCACGGTACCTGTCCTTCCGTTAGACTGAATGGCCGTGAATTGCCGCAAGCTGAAAACGCCAAATATCTAGGTGTACATTTTGATCGTCGTCTAAATTGGCGTCACCACATCTTTACAAAACGGAAGCAGTTAGGACTAAAGCTACGCTCACTTTACTGGCTATTAATCCCAAATCCAAATTATCGCTACAAAAGAAAATACTTTTATACAAGGTCGTCTTATAGCCAATCTGGACGTACGGTATACCCATCTGGGGTATAGCAGCGAAGTCAAATCTAGATATGATTCAGAGGTTTCAATCAAAAATATTACGTATCTGTGCCGTGGCCCCATAATTTATTCCGAATAACATCCTACATTATGATCTTGGCATCTCTACAGTGTACGAGTCAATACAGCAGATAAGCAGCAACTATCACTCACGACTGGTAGTTCACCATAACCCCCTTGCCGCAGGCCTAACGAGGGATACTTTTAACATTCGTAGATTAATACGCTTCGCAACTTCTGATTTGCCGAGTAGATTCTAGAAATTGTAATTCTTTATA